TGCAGTGTTATTTTATGTTATCTACTCTTCCCCAGTCCAAGCTGAAGATGGATGCTTACCTGGATAGGAGACAGCTCACAATGGATGGACAAACACTCAGATGTCATAGTGCATTTATCCTCTTTCTCAGAGCAATGAAGCCTCGGCAGTAGGCTCATAAGAAAGCCTAAGAAAACTTAGCCATCATAGAGAGCAGAATGATAGAAAGGAAATTGGCGTAGTGAGATGTGGTCTGTGTCCTTACATTGGGACAGGTTTTTTCCTAGTCCTGACATAGGAGGCCAAGGCCAAGGAGACCAGGTGGATGAAAGGAACTGCAGGTCTACCTCGGAACTTCAGTCTATCTTTCTAAAAGAAGGGAAATGGGAAACTAGATACCCCAATATTTGGATCACATAGCTAATGTTTAAAGATAACATATTTTTGAGCTGTTAGTGCTGTGTTTTCCAGTTGAGAGAACGGGTTAGTTTCTTGATGTCTGCCTGAGCACTTCCTCCCTCAGTACCTTTTTCTTAAAACTTGAAATATTGACACCACTTTAGGTGGAGATATGGAGCCCAGAACTTAGTCACCAAAGCCCTGTAATCAAATTCTGAGACTACCTTTTGACGGTTAAGTTATTAAATATCAGTTATGTACAAAGCACCATGATTGGTGAAATGAGGGCTGGAAAAATGTGTAAGTCACTGCTCCTGCTTTGCAGCATTTTTTGCCCAGTGAGAATGCGTGTTTCATGTGTAATCCACATAACAAAGTAAAAGAGCACATGAGAAGTGAAAGTAATGTAAGTAGTACTTGCACCTGGGGGCACTGTGCTGAGAAGGCTTTAAGGAGGAGAGAGCATTCTAGCAGGAAAGAGCCTTCCAAGCAGAGGAGGCAGAATGAAGAAAGTAGGTATGTGGTGACTTGTTCTAATCTCTTAATCCCTCTGAACCTATTTGCTCCTATATAGCACTTCTCACACAGTGATATTATAAAGATTAGATTAGTTAATTTATGTAAAGAACCTAAGCCACCCGTTCACTTCCCTCCCATGCCAAAATGAACTGAAAAACAGGCCAGAAATGTACTTTAGGAAGAGATCCTCAGAGACCTAGAATGCCGGTCTAAGGGGGTCAGAATTTCCTTGATGAGAAATGAGACGTCATCAAAGGTTTATAGGCAGAGGAATCAGGCAACTGTTGGTGCTTGCAAAGTGCAAGGGGAGCAGGGAGCAGGAAGTAGGACATCCCCTGAGCGCTCCCAGTACGTGATAGGGGGCAAGCTGGGCTGAGGGACACCCCCCCTCCAGTGCACAAATTTTTGTGCACCAGGCCTCTAGTTAGAAATAATGCTATCTCTATATATAAAAGTCTAAGCAACCGGTTGACCAGCCAGTAAATGTAACGCACAATGACCACCAGGGGGCAGATGCTCAACACACAGGCATGGAGACATGGGACAAACTGATGAATCTTAGAGGGAAGGGGGCAGGGGGGAGGGCAGGGAGAGATTAACCAAAGATCTGCTGCACCATTTTGCATTCCCACCAGCAATATATGAAGGTTCTAGTATGAGGATTTCAATTCTGCAAATGTTTGTCAAAGCTTGTTGTTAATTGTTTTAATGATAGCCTTCTGAGCAGGTCTTAGTGATATCTCACTGTGGTTTTGATTTTCATTTACTTATTGGCTAATGATGCTGAGCATTCTTTCCATGTGCTCACTGCCCTTTATACACCTTTGTTGGAGGAATGTTTGATCATATCTTTTGTCCGTTTACTAATGTTTTCAGCATCAACTTTCACCACTCATCTCTGTAGTCTTTGTTACTATTTGTGGTTAGCTGTCCATATCATTTTTGTCAAATAAAGATCTTTGTGACTCTATGTAAAATGTATTTCTTATTTTTTATCTTTTCTGAGTTCCTCTTCTGACCAAGTTTCCTCCTTCATCTCTCTCCTTTTTTTTCTATTTTAGGAAGATTGCAATGGCATATTCAGAATTAATGTAAGTGTGTCCAAGAACCTAAATTTAAAATTAAGACCTGGAGAGAAAAAACCTGGATTTTGGGTGCCCCGTGTTTGGTAAGATATTAGAAAAAAAATCCCTAAGAATGCTATATTTGTCAACATAAGATTTTAAATCAGTGCAATATGGTATAAAATAAGAGTAACTCAGATAGAGATATGAAAGTGCTTCCAAGGAAAAGCACTGAATTACAACAGGATATAAAATTACCGTAAATATGAGAGCAAGTGGTACCGAGTCCCACGTTGCTTCATGAAACTAGTAAACTATCACTGCAGTATTTTTCCAATATTTTAAAAGTTTGTATCTGGATTCACATGGCTTCCAAATTTTTGAGATTAATTTTTTTTCAATCAAAGTTTTAGTCAAATTTTAATTTTTAAAATTAATTTAAATTTTTAAAAATTTTAATCAAATTAAAACTAAACTCACCTGAATGTATATCTTTAAGGGCAGATCTTATGTCCTCATAGTGTTTGTGAAGAAGCCTACTTAATCATAAAGCTATTTCAGTTTCAAAGCCCATTGATAGTAAAGAATTTTCATCATTGAAACACTAAATAGGAATAATCAATAACACAATTGCTTATATCTAACTCTTTAAAATTTGTCTTTCTTGAAAATGAGTTTTCAAAGCATTTACATCAAAGATGGAAGAACCTAGTACCCTCTTTCTCATCCATTTTACTGAAGACCATGAATAAAATATCTCAATCCGCTTCATGGATGAACTAAGTGTTCTATCAACTGCATTTGTCCTTTAAATTGTTACCTGTGTTTTTTTTCTTTCATTTTACCTTTTAGAATAATGAGTGAAGAATAGCAACTACTTTGCTTTTGTCACAATCAACTAAATGTCAAACTCTTTAAAAGGAATAGCATTTCACCCATTTGTACCCCTAGGACTTATAGTTACAGCTTTGGCATTTCTATAAAATGAAATTCACTATTATAAGCAATGCAATGTATATTGGGTTGTTTTTTTAATACCAAAGATTTATTTAAAAATAAATTAAGTTTGGATTTGTGGCTATATATATATATATATATATATCCATAGGACTATCCTTATCCCAGTGCTAACTAGAAAAACAGTCTCATTTACATTAAAATAAAAAATTAAGGAAGCATAAAACATTTATTTTTTTGTGAGGTGAAAACTCATTATTATACCATAAATAATTTATTTAAATCAGTACATCAAATGGGATTTTTTTCCTACTGTTTTGGAATTTTGGCTAAAGCCTTGAAGCTGAGGTTAATAGGAGATAAATTATTATTATATTCTAAAGAGAGCCACTAGGCAATCTCAGCAGAACTTACTAAAATTTATCCACCTCCATCACCCAGGTTATGCAAAACAAAACACTGCAGTCATAGATGACCTCATGAAGTGGATGAACTCAGTGGAGTGTTATGGCATCTCTCCTCCCTTTATTATGGAATAAGGTGCTTCCCACCTCAGCCAAGTCAAGTACCCAGGAAGGCTAGCTGATATCACAGATTGGCAAGGCTTTGTGGTCAAGCAACTCTTCACTACCTAGCAGGGCAGGGTTATCTGATGTTCCCAGAGGTCTGAGTCATCACTACTTAGGCTGCCTAATCTGAGCTGTCCTGATGGAACCCTTTGTATGTACTGCAAAGGACTGAGTGCCCTATTTGAAGAGGCTGTTCATGTGTTTCCAGGAGTGGGAGCTGAAAATCACCTATAGACTACCTTCGCAGGAATGGTGCAATGGGGCATTCTCATTTGGAAGTGTTTAAAAGTATAGTGTTCTAATAGAAAATCTGAGGTATAATAAGGCCAACAGATCAAGAGACGATCAATTACCATTGAAAAGATAGCTAGTTGCTCATAGCTCCCAAGAGGAAGGGCCAAGCCATACCACGGAGCCACACAGGGAAGCACTAGGGTTGGTCACAAGGCAGAAGGAAAGACGCTGTGGGAAAGAGCCTTTTTTCTCGGTTCCCTGGGAAGGAAGGTGAGGCAGGGCCGTCAGGCTTAGGATTGGCTAGTTTGGTCATTTCAATGGGCTCTGGGGCATAGGGACTGCCCTCATGATCTGGTACCTGGGCCCTGGTGTGATTAGGGCTGGTATATAGTGGTCCCGAGTGTGAAAGCCTAATAACAGAGGAGGTTGAGGGTATGGACTCTTGACTGACTAGTTTGTATTTGAAAAGCACACCCTAGAAAGGACTCCTCCCAAGGTTGGGAAGAGGGTGATGAGGGAGGCAGGATGACTCGGCGTTTTATCAGGTTGTCCAGAACAAAGTGTGTCCTGCATTTGTATGTAGGGCAGATAGTGAAGTGTCAAGTTTACAGAAGCTAGAAGCATGGTTAATATACAGAGTTTCTGAGGAACACACAAATGCACAACATAAAGAGTTGTGACAAGAGCACCAATGGCCAGAGTACAAGAGCATAAAATGCACAGCCTCTCACTCCATTTCTGTAACTCCAGCCTTATCAGAACCAGATGGCAGCCTGAAGAGGAGTGAATCAGAGTAGCCAGCGCTCTTCTTCCCTCCTCAAACCGCTGATCAGGCTGAGCTGCTGGGGATGGGATCCTTGCACAGGGTTAAGACAGCCAAGGTTGGATGTAAAACGGAGCCGACTCTTTAGAATGAGACTGATCTAAAAAGCGCTGACCTCTCCCCAAGATGTCAGGAAGGGAGCTAGGACGTACTATACAGCAGTATTGGGAGAAAAGTAAAGTTTTTTTTCCAGTTGTACCCTATGTTATTCAACTTTGTTTCATATGATTTTTAAAGTCAGAGTTAATTGAAATGTAATGTCTTATGTAACTTATTAGGGGTTTCAAGTTCAATGACACTTTAAAAGCTTAAATGGATAAAGAGGTATCATTTAAACATCATCACAATAGCTTTTGTCCATTTGTTCAGAAAATTGTGACTTGGATTAATTTTAGGGACCCGTAAATCTTCCATCAAATAAATGTTAGCTGTCACCAGATCATTTTTATATTTTTCTTCTTAGTAAGCTTACCAAGAATTAGCAGCTGAAAATTTTGTAATTTTATATTGGCTAATTTATGATTAAGAAAATAACTTTTATCTGGGAATCGGCCTAGAGCAGTGGTTCTCAACCTTCCTAATGCCGCAACTCTTTAATACAATTTTTCATGTTGTGGTGACCCCCAATTTCATTGTTACAAATTGAAATCATTAAAGCATAGTGATTAATCACAAAAACAATATGTAATTATATATGTGTTTTCCGATGGTCTTAGGCGACCCCGGTGAAAGGGTCATTTAACCCCCAAAGGGGTCGCGACCCACAGGTTGAGAACCGCTGGCCTAGAGGAATGCCTTGATAATTATAATTAGGACATCAATATGCACTATCTAATTCAGGAGATAGTCTGGTTTCTATATTTTCTTTTCAGATGAATACATACATTTCCTTTGGAACCACTCAGACTTCATGAGATACAAATTACCTTGCTAAAAAGGATTAAACATACCATGTAACTATTGTGTGTTTTGTTTTCAGCAGAAGTCTTTGATATAGGAAAATGTAATTTACGAGAGAAAAATCAACAAAGTACTCAGTTTCATAATAAGTGCATTTATTGAGTGATTACTATTCACCACCAGGTATTATGCTGTCACTGGGGACAAGCTATGGCCCCTGATCCCCAGGAGCTTGAAGTCTAGTGGAGAACAGAAAAGGAAATTACAAGTAATTTATTATAATATGCTAAGGTGTTTGGTGCTACATAAATAATTCCCTAAACTCACTTGCAGCTCACCTGAAAGCTTACCTCTAGGTAATTTTAAGTTACACAGTCTAGGCAGAAGATCAAATTTTTGTAGTATCCATATGGCACAAACAATTGGGGACATCCTTTAAGAAAAAGAGTATAAAAATACCTTATTCTTATAAGTTTAATAAAAACATAGGGCCATGTGAACTCACCGCTGGGCCCCTTCCAGAATTTTGGAAGATACCTGTCCAGGGAAAGGCCAGAGGTGTAAGTTTCTGTAGTTTGCTGGTATATTGGCCAGGATAGGATACCATAGGCAAAGGGCGCAGTGGCACACACAGGAGAGGCCCCTTACCCAACCATGACTTGACCAGGGCGAAGGACCCAGAGGAGAAGACACTGGTTAACTTTTGAAGGACAAATAGGCATTAGGCAGCTGAAAAGAGGAAGAGCCATGGGCAGCTGAGTGGGAGGGGCTTGGCAGAGGTAACGTGTTGCAAACTGAGGAAACCCAAATTGCTATGTCCAAAGTGCAAGGCAAACAAATAGATAAATAAAGCAGTGTATTCTAGAAAGTACAAAGAGGTTCTGACTTTTTAGACTAGATCACAGAGTTGTAAGACTTAGGGGGCCATTTTGGATAAGGTCATTCCCTGTATTTTCACACCCAGCGGTAGAGGCTAAGTTTCTTCCTCCCTCCGTGGTGCCCCAACTTCCCCAAGAAGGGAAACTCTCCTTATGATCTTGGGGATGTTGGCGCACTTTTCACTGGAAGGTGAAAGACTGACCAAGTTGTGAGGTCAGAACCAATGTCTTAGTTTTCTGAATTAGATACTAAGATTATAATCTTTAAAAGTTAACCAGAAAAGATGATATTTAAACAGCCTTCCAAGTCAGGGAAGAGCTACAGGTAAAATGACAGTAATGGATGAAGACTGGGATTTATTGAAGTCCTCTGTGGTTGTAGGTTTAATCTTTCCAATTTTAAATACATGAACAAAGCATATACAAATATTTTATATGACGAAAGCTGAAAAATACTTACTTTTCTTTTAAATGTGATCTATTCTTCCAACTGTTTTCTTTTTCTTGGTCTAGCCTGAAAGTGTATTTTTAACATAATCTACTTTTAAAAGTAGTTTTGATTGCTGCAAATTCAGTTAAAAAAAAACAACACTTTACGGAGGAAAGGGGGTGGAGGAGGAAGAAGGTAAAGGATGGATAAATGGTGATAGAGGACACTTGACTTGGGGGATAAACACACAAAACAGTGTACAGATGATGGATTGTCGAATTGTGTACCTGAAATCTGTAGAATTTCATTAACTAATGTCAGCCCAATAAATTCAACTAATAAATAAATAAGTAAACAAATAAGTAAGTAGATATCACTGTGGGGGGTGGATGGATGAGAAAGAAAGTTTAACATCAGATCTGAGAGCTGGCTCAGTTGGTTTAAAAAAATCTTTGAGAAAATGCTGGTACCTGTAGAATCCTTGTAGTTTCTGTCTTCTGTAAAATATATTCCATTTCATGAAAACTCCCAAAGGAAAAGTTGTTGGAAAAATCCAAGAGAGTATGCTTATAACTTCATACTAAAAAATATAAATCAGAATCCTAGAATATGAATTTGTGAGTAGTGCTTTTGCACTATGTAGAAAACATTTTCTACCAAATAGCCTTAAACCTTTAGGAGCAAGTCAGTTTCAGTTTTACATTTTCTTACTAGATCCCCATCTATTTAGTATTTTAAAAAGAACTTATAAGGATACATCTCATGATTGTTCTGTGGCTTAAAAAAAAATGGTGGTACAAAAATGCTAAACCTGATTGCCCCCAAGTGAGTTACCTTTTGTGAGGGTTACATTTTGATAAATGAACTAGCAGGGGAAAAAATATCAAAATATAATTCAGATAAGCTTCAGTAGGCCTACTCTCTTTAATAATCCTGAGCTCAATTCTCCATCAAATTCAAGAAACATAGTGATAGTCCTGATTTTTCAGTGTGTGGTTGTCTAAATCTTTTAACTACTTAAAATAGCCTCTAGTAAGGGGGAAATAGGAAAAAAACTCTTCACTCTTCTATGAGCAACAAAAATGGTAGCTCAGACCTATAATGACTAAGGGAAATGTCAGAGTAGAAAAGATCACTTTTGTAACCGTGAAGAGAAAAAAATATCAGAAAAAAAAAAAACAAGAAATAAGACATCCTCTCCCCCTGAAAAATGAGGCCACAATGTTTTAGAAATCGGGAATGTGCTGTGGGTGTAGCAGCATACTGTGCACTGAGAACACAGGAAATATCCATTGAGAACATCAGCGTTTGTGAGAGAGAAAAAAATGCAACTGGGAGAGAGTGATCTGGAAATAATGGCAATGAACAAACACATCGTGTCTTCTCCGTGATCTCTCACTACTTTACAGTGTGATGATGTTCCCATGAGGACACAGAATGAACTAAAGTGGCCAAATCCTACTCTTTTGACATTTTCTGTACTAACACAGGGAATTGTAATTTATGCCATTAGAAAGATTCCCAATTAAAAACCAATTTCAAAATTCCTACCCAGACTCCAATGCCCCTTTGAGAATCTCCTATACAGTTTCTAACTAGAACGTGTATCTAGTCCTCAGTATAATCAGGACAAGCCGGAAATGTTCGCAGATCCTCTCGAGCTAGAACTCAAAGTTGTGTAGCATTTTGTTGTCTTCAACTGAGAGCACCCCATCATTACCTAATAATTAATTACACAATTAATCACCTACAACACACAGCCTTATGATGTAGCCCACCTTCCAAGTGCAAAACACCCCTCTGCACCCAAGATGGGAAAGAGCTACAAGTATTTGCCTTGGGGTGCTTCTTATCGGAATTTCACAGAACATTCCTCTTTCTGATTTTCAGGGCGAATCCTCGGAACTTTAATTTCGACAATGTTGGAAACGCTATGCTGGCGTTGTTTGAAGTTCTCTCCTTGAAAGGCTGGGTGGAAGTGAGGGATGTTATTATTCATCGTGTGGGGCCGGTGAGCAAGCCCATGGAAGCCTTTGAACACAGCCTTTCAGCAGCTGCTTTCACTTGCTTTGATGAATAACCATATTTTTCATTTATACAGATGCATGGAATCTATATTCATGTTTTCGTATTCCTGGGTTGCATGATTGGACTGACCCTTTTTGTTGGAGTAGTTATTGCTAATTTCAATGAAAACAAGGTAAGAATTCTTGGTGTGAGTACCACAGAGTTTATTCTTTTCCGGCCACTCACTTTAAGCTCTCTTTTTTTGCACACACAGCATGATGTCACATTAAACTGTAATGTGACTGGTGTGGACAATCTCTGTAACGATTTCACAAGCAACCTTATTGCTGCCTTTCAGGCCCGTTATTTAAGGGCACAGCTCTCTGGCTAAATGTCCCCCTTTGGTCACAGTGTCATTCATTCATGACAACTGACAGGCGCATCTCCTATTGTTCAAATGGAAAGGATGTGCAACAAGTTATTTAAGTACCATAGCTGAAGCTGATGCAGGGATTGCAGGTAATACTGCTCTCACTAATGTAAATTAGATGCTTCTTAGTAACTCAGTAAGTGAGTTACTTCTAACACCAGTTGTATTTTGATGGGATGGGGAGGAGGGCATGGTACAAGTTTTAAAATCTTAGTTCATGGGAGAAAAAGAAGATTTTCTAATTTAATGTTAAAATCTTTGCATGCTGCCCTAGCTGGTTTGGCTCAGTGGATAGAGCGTTGGCCTAAGGACTGAAGGGTACTGAGTTTGATTTCAGTCCAAGTCACATGCCCAGGTTGCAGGCTCGATCCCAGTAGGGGGTGTGCAGGAGGCAGCCAATCTAAGATTCTCTCTCATCATTGATGTTTCTATCTCTCTCTCTCCCTTCTCCCTTCCTCTCTGAAATTCATAAAAATATATTTAAAATAAAAGTTTTGCATGCTTTATGAACTTGGGAAGCTGAGTTCATAACAGCTCAAATGATCAATAAAGAGCCCACAGATGGGAAAAGAGCAAGTGGAGTTTCCTGCCAAAAAATACATGAGTTTGAGGGGACACATTCTATGTTGTTCTTCTGGACATGATTGACATGCCCCCTGTTGTGTCAAGGTCAGTGCTCTTATGTCTTAATAATTGAGACACATACAGTTTCTACACACTTCCTATTCACTAAGGTTTAGATATGCTATTCTCAGTTCCCCAACTCGGAAATGCACAATTGAAGAGAAGACAGCATAAAATAAGGAGGAGAAAATGGGGCCAGAATTCAGAAGTAGTGCCTATAGCTGCAAGCGTCTGTGATGCTCCCAATTCAAGTGCATGAAAATGTCGACTGTCGTTCCGCACTGAATGAAAAGCTAGATGTCACTGCACAGCTCCGTGCTGCGCTATGTCATGCACAGCAAGGACTGATTCGAACGCACTCACATCAGAGCTCTGGTGTGTGCAGCTACGCCAGGGACCGTATCACTCACGTCCAGGCTCCACGTGTGAGATGCCAGTTAGTCAGCCAATTGGCGCCTTTGGTGTGTGCCGAATGAGGATGTCGTTTTGTTCAGACTTTCAAAGAGTGCAACTTAAAAATCGCCCCTTTGGGCCCCAACACTACTCTACCCCACAGAAACCTGGAATTTTAGAGTAAGAAAGGATAGAGAGCATATCGCCCAGCCCCCCTATTTAACACATTCTCAAATGAGTTTCTTTCAGCCCTACCGTGTGTTCAATTTAATTCCAAGCAGAAAGAGGAAGATGGGTCTTTTTAGATGCCTTTGAGGCATGTGATGGAGCAGACACTGGGAATTCCGGAATAGGAGCGGAAGCTAATCAGTCAATTAAGACAGTTTAAGCTCTGCTTGCTCAGAACACCATCCAAGGCCCTCTGAGCAGACACCTAATTTCAGAAGAATTAGGTCCTATGGCAGCTCACAATTCAGCAGCATAATGAAATGACATGAAATTTTGAATTAACCGGAGACAGTGTAGTTCCTCAACTCAGAGAATGTCTGAAGCAAGCAGAATAACAGGCCTACTTCCAGCACCAGTTGTATTTCTATTCTGAAGGAGGAAAGGAATGTCTCTACCTGAGAAAGGGGAGCATGGAAGCTCAAATGTGTGCTTAGAGAAAGAGGCAAAGGAGAAGAAATCATATCACCAGACATTATAAACTTGAATAGTTAATAGGAAATATACATTTCTCAGTTACAAATTTCTAAATTATGTGAACATTTTAGAAAAGATTTTTTTTCTGCAAGTTTTGTCCATGGTAGCAGTTCAGCTGCTATGTAACAGGACTTATTCGTTTATTATTCAACCAGAGGTCCGATACACGAAATTCGTGCAAGGGGGCTCGGCCTTCGTAGCTGAGGTGGCTTGCCTCGGTCTTTGTCCAGAAGGTCGTCCAGAAGGATGTCCAGAAGGTCGTTTGGCTTTCCGGTCCAATTAGCATATTACACTTTTATTATTATAGATCATTCAACAGACTTCTTTGAGCACTTCCTAGGTGCCCCACTCTGCTTTTGAGCCTGAGAGCATAAGAAGCTAATCCATGAACACTAATCACATAAAGATTCCTGCCCTCATGGAGCTCACATTCTAATGGTTATGCCTGAAAGTACATAAATAGATTTCCAAATGTATAGGCAACAGAGAGAACTAAAGATATGGGAGCCCTGGCCAGGAGTGATGGTCCATATACCAAAAGGTGGTGGGTTTGATTCCCAGTCAGGGTATGTACCTACGTTGTGGGTTAGGGAAGCAACTGATCAATGTTTCTCTCTCAAGCCAATACTTCTCTCTCTCTATCTCCCTTCCTCTCTCTCTAAAATCAATAAAAACATACCCTTGGGTGATGATTAAAAAACAACAACAACGATATGGGAAATAAGGTAAGTTTTGCAGGCAAAGTTTTAACAATTCAGAATCATGCAATATTATGTCTTCCCTAGAAAATGGAACCGTTTTAAAAGTTCAAAATCTTTAACAATAATATATATGTATATATATTTTTAATTTCCCTAGTATAAGACAATAAGTTTGATTAATACACTTAATTTAATAACAATGCACTTTTAGAGGTTATTACATTAATGATTAGAGTACAGGTTTCCAAAATATCTTGCTTTGTATAACAAAGAAATAACATGAATGCATATAGCATCCCCAAAACAAATATTTATTTGCAGTTACTGAGAAAAATGGCTTAGCAAAAATAATATCAGAGAAATTTAATTTAAAGCAAATTTATTAGGAATAAACAGTATAATTAAATAATTTCAAAAGGAGTTAAATCCCCAGGAAAAATAAAGGACTCCTTAAAATATATGAAAATAAAATTAATTAGCCTTGGCTGGTGTGGCTCAGTTGGTTGAGCATCATCCCATGGACCAAAGGTCACTGGTTCAATTCTCAATCAGGGCACATGTCTGGGTTGCAGGCATGACCCCCAGTAGCGGGCATGCAGGAGGCAGCCAACCGATGTTTCTCTTCCACATGGATATTTCCCCCTTTCTCTTCCACTCCCTTCTTCTCTCTCTAAAATCAATAAAAAACATTTTATAAAATTAATCAAATTATTTTAAAAGCTATAAAATCCAAAATTATGGTGAAATATATTAACATATTTTTCTAATAATTTCATAAATCCGCAGGAAAAAAGAAAGACTATATGAAATTTGACACAATAAAATTATGTGATCTACTGACATATAAAGAACTCTGACCTCCACAATTTTCAAGTACAAAATGTATCCTCTACAAAGTCATAAAATAATAATTGTAAAAAAAATATTGATAATGTATAAAACAGGTTCTCTACCATAATAAAAAAATATAGCAAAAAAATCCCCTCAGGATTTGGAAATATTAAGACAACATTCTAAATAATTTATTAATTAGTAATATGGAAAATACTAAAATTAATGTTACAATAAAAATAACAGTAAAATTGAAGAATGTAGGAGGAAGTAATAAAGATACAGAAAAACAACTATAGAAAGGCTCAAGAATGACAAAGCAGATTCTTTTAAAAAATTAAATGATAAACCTTTTGCAAGGTTCAGCATCAACAAAAATGTGGAAAAGGAAAGTAAACAAGCTTATAGTTAGTAAAGCTATGCCAGTATTGTTACAGGAATACAAATCTAGACTTACAGAACAGATTAGAAAGCCCAGGAGATACCCCTGTATATATAAAACAGAATTAGCACAACTAATCAGAGGAGATGAGAGCATCAATAAGTGAAACTGGAATAATTGTCTAGAAGAAAATAAACTCTACCTCATAGCCTACTCAAAAATGAAGTCCAGGTGAATGAATGACCTAACTGAATATAAACCATTTGTAAACCATGTAGAATTTATTTTTGACCTGGATTTCTTGACATTAACCACAAAGTGGAATTCATAAAGAAAAAAATTATAACTTGGATTACATTAAAATGAAAAGTTGTTGAATGATAAATGGCACATTTTGTCTAAATGATAAAAACAAGACTTCAAAAAAAAAAAAAAAAGAGCTAAGCCCTAGTCAGTTGGCTTAGTGGATAGAGCTGCAAACTGAAAGGTCTCAGGTTCAATTCCAGTCAAGGGCATGTAACTCAATTGCAGGCTTCTCCCCAGCCCGGGCCCTGGTTGGGGCATGTGCGGGAGGCAGAAAATATTTACAACTCAAATCACTACAAAAAGTATCCAGAATATATTGAGAATGTCTACAAAACATCAAAGAGTAAATATATAAAAATGAGCAAAGAATACGAACAGGTGATTTCTAAAGGAAGAAACAGGAATCGCCACTTATATAAATAAAAAATGCTTCATCTCATTAATGTTCAAACTAGATACATTCGCACACACATCAAATGACCAAACTAGCCGAAGCCGGTTTGGCTCAGTGGATGGAGCGTCGGCCTGCGGACTGAAGGGTCCCAGGTTCGGTTCCGGTCGGGGGCATGTGCCTGGGTTGCGGGCACATCCCCAGTAGGGGATGTGCAGGAGGCAGCTGATGGATGTTTCTCTCTCATCGATGTACCACTTATACAAATAAAAAATGCTTCATCTCATTAACGTTCAAACTAGACACATTCGCACACACATCAAATGACCAAACTAAAATGTCTGATAATGTCAGGCATTAACAAGAATATAGTTGCTGGTGGCAAATGCAAACTAAAATGTCTGATAATGCCAAGCATTAACAAGAATATAGTTGCTGGTGGCAAATGTTCATGCTTATTCCTCTTTGGACAGGAACTTGGCAACATCTGGTAAATGTAAAGATGTGTAAATTTCTAGACCCCAGCAATTCCTCTCCTGGAGATTTACCATGGAGGAAGGCACATAGGTGTTTAGCATGAGTCAGTACATTTGTGTCTATTGCAGCATTGTTTATAGTCCGTAAACTGAAAATGAGTAGCTTCTGATGTATTTGTACAATGGCATACTCTATGAGCAGTTAAGGTAAACCAATGAGATCTAGTATCTAGTTGTATGACAAGCATTGTTCAGTGAAGGTAAAAACAAATTGCACAGATAAGCACATATTGAATACCAATTATATAAAATTTTAAAATTCAAGACAAATACATTTTTACGTATTGAGTCATACCTATTGAGGATATATCTCTGAAGGATGGTCCCTGAGCTCTGGAGAAAGAAAGGAAGAATGGGTATATTTTTCCTGGTTCCTTAAATTATACTTCCAATACTATATTGTAATAAAATGTAACATAGGTATGTGCATTTTAATGAAGTACGCTATGATAAAATAAAGCATACCTAGTCTCATTTAGCCAGTTGTCATAGTAATTTCTTAAAGATCCAAATTCTATGGCTTTATACCACTTAAAAATAATTTTGCAATTGCACCTATCAGAATGATTTTCAAAAGCATGTTTAAGGCAAAATACACTTATCCAGAAGCAGCAGCACTGACAAGCTATAATTTTGCTGCAGCGTTTTCTGCTATGAAATGAAAGGAAACTAATCACTATTAGAGTGAGGATCCCTTTTTTGAAAATTTAATCATGCAGAAAACCTTCTTTATATTTCCCCAAACCCGGGAAACGCTCAGAGATGCCCACTGAAGGTCTGCTTCGGAGCCTGTGGCCATCTCTTTTGGCCATCCCTCTCAAGACCAAATCTGAGAATTCTGACCCTGTTTATCCAACCATCATAGGGTTTGAAGAATATATTTATTTAAAACCCCCAAATTAGTCCTGTTTGTATCACCACCCCATGTGCAATGTCCTTGGCGTGGAGTACATGACAAAAGGCCTTTTTCTGCTTTCCTTTGTTTATTAAGGGGACGGCTCTGCTGACTGTAGATCAGAGAAGATGGGAAGATCTGAAGAGCCGACTGAAGATAGCACAGCCTCTTCATCTCCCACCTCGCCCGGGTATCAAAGATGCTCTGATTTTATTCATGTTGGGCACTAGTGTTCATGATTCCCCAGGAGTCTAAGATTTCAATTAAAATAATAATCGTGAGGCCACTAGGTGGTTGTGCATAAGTTAATATAGAAACAGGCTCCAAACCACAGATCTCTCCAAAGGCTATTAAAATCAACCACCCAAAGGCTGTGCTTCAGCGCTCTCAGGATAAGCCTTAATGAAAAAATGAATTTTTAAACAAAATATTTGTGCTTGCCTTTTCAACATATGAGTGAAATGTATTAAACTGACAGAAATTGAATGATGCGGTTCTCCTTCTGATACGGACGGCTTCATGCACCGTGGTTTTAAATATTCAGAGCCAGCCATTCCTGCAAAACACTACACAATAGATTGAGCCGTGGGGGTGGGGAAATGTGATGGGTTTTATGATGGGCATTAAAGAAAATGAAAGGCAAGAAAGTAAATGTGACTTCGGTCTAAAGTTCCCTCGCCTAAACCTTTCTTTTCCAGATAATGATGGCTTTAGAGCCAAGATGTATGACATAACCCAGCACCCGTTTTTTAAGAGGACAATTGCTTTACTCGTCCTGGCCCAGTCAGTACTGCTCTCTGTCAAGGTACTTGGTTTCACCTTTAGACTCTGGGAATGAATTTCTTCCTCGTGGCTGCATCCAAGAATATCACAGATGGCCACATCTACTAGGACCTGCGCTCTTTAGTATAAAATTTTTAAATTCACAATTGTGTTCAAGTGGGAGGAAGAAGGGGGAGGGCTTTTCTGTGCCCAACGCCCGATGGATTTAGGCAAAGACGTGTGTGCTGTTTCCTATACAGTGGGACGTCGAGGACCCAGTGACTGTTCCTTTGGCAACAATGTCAGTTGTTTTCACCTTCATCTTTGTTCTTGAGGTACCGTAATGAGTCAGTGGGTTTGGGGGATGGGGGAGGGGGGACAGTGCACATTTTAAAGTAAGATAGTGTCCTCCTTTGATGGTCCTTATTTCAACTCTGTGCCCCATCGCTTTTGAAGTTTTGTGTGTGTGTGTGTGTGTGTGTGTGTGTGTTTTGAGGGGGATAGTGTGCTCTTAGGGTATTTCCTTTTGAGTCTGTTCAGTTTAACTTGAACAAAGACTTCACTTTATTTTTTGGAATTTTCTAACCACAGGAATTGCAAACTGCCGTTAATTTCTGTATCAGAATGATGGCCTGTCTAGTTATCTGAGTTCAAATATTTAGGGCAAACTGTACAGACCACTGTAGTTCAGGGACTCAAATTGCAATGTGGTGGTAAAGGGAATTGACCCAGAGGTTATTTTAATATATGGTTCATATCATATTACTTTCCAGGGATAGTCTTTTTCTTCCAACAATCTCTTTGAAATACAAGCAGATTCTTATTTCACCCTGAACTGGTTGATGTTTCCCAAAATCTATGGTCTTTTACTTGGGGAAGAAAAATGTCCTGCTATCAAACTAGTCATAAAACAAGGAGAAAAGAGTGTGGAGAATATATATGTGTTACCTACTCAGCTTTTTTATATATGTGATAAATTTGTCTCTTTGGTTGCTACCTTTTAAAAAAAATAATGTGACTCAGGTTAATACATTTAAATATGTACTAAACAGTCTCGATTTACTCTCTTCACTGTTTTTCTCAGGTTACAATGAAGATCATAGCAATGTCACCTGCAGGCTTCTGGCAAAGCAGAAGAAATCGATATGACCTGCTGGTGACCTCACTCGGCATTGTCTGGGTGGTACTTCACTTTGCCCTCCTGGTAGGTGTAAATTGTTTATTTCAGTTGAAAATTTCATAGTTGTATAATAGAAGTAAAATGTGGCCATGAATATAATTTTAAATTTTCTAGGGGCCACATTTAAAATATAGAAAAGAAACAAATAACATTTATTTATACCTACCATATCCAAAATGCAGGGTGGGGCAAAAGTAGGTTTACAGTTGTTCATGTGGAAAATAATACTATAATTAATAAGTAATAGTACAAGAATAAATTCTGTGTTTTGTGTACTCACAACTATAAACCTACTTTTGTCCCACCCTGTATTATCATTTCAACATGTCAGCAGTATAAAAAAAAAATTATGGCCTGGCTGGTGTGGCTCAGTGGTTGAGCAATGACCCATGAACCAAGAGGGCACATGATTCTCAGTCAGGGCACATGTCCGGGTTGTGGGTTCAGTCCCTGGGAGGGAGTGTGCAGAAGGCAGTGGTCGATGTTTCTATCTTTCTGCCCCTCTCCCGTCCTCTCTCTAAAATCAATAAAGTCATATTTTTAAAAGTTAAAATATTATGGAGATATGTTACATGCTCTCTTTTGTACTAAATCATTGATTGACTGTGTATTTTACATTTACAGAATGTCTTAATTTATATTCACTATATTTCAGGTGCTCAATAATAGCATGAGGTAGTGGTTACCATGTTGGATACCCCAAGGTTCTAGTCTAGGGTCCACCATTTTTCAGCCTTGATCAAGTTATTTGTCTTCAGTGATCTTTTGTTTCCTGCTCTGAACTAGGAATATGATTTCATAATCTACAGGTTTCATATGAACATTATGAAGATCAAAGAATGTGAAGTTTTTCTAATGGTTAAGATTAAACAAACCATAACACATTATTATAAATATCTTCTTTTTTTTAGTCTTCCTTGATCCCTCCCAAAAATACTATTATCCATTTCCCCCTGCTCTCTTCTATCCATTCTCTCGTCCTCTAGAAAAGATCCATAGCACACAGAGCCCATTTACACATCACAAAGGCCTAGTTTTAGTATGTAATTGCTGTGCTCAGAAAGATATTGAGTGTCTTTTTTAAGACAGTTCTTAACTTCAGAGTCAGGGGCTGTGCCAAGCCCAGGTGGGCTCTCAGTCACCCTGATTCATTTCCTCAAACAACAAATGGTTTTGAGTACTGCATATGTGCAAGTCACAGTGCTAGGAATTGAGAAGAATGTAATGAATAAAACAAAGACAGTGACTGCTTTCATGGGCCACACAGCCTGGGAAGTTAGGTAGGCATCCATTGAATGCTCCCAAGTCTATGAGAATTACAGCTATGGAAAGGAGATGGAGGAGAGACACAAGTTGCTGTGACAACACATAATAGTAGATGGCTTTATCAGGGAGGTCCTGGAAGGCATCCTGAGGGAGTGATAATTGGGATCAGTCTGAAGGAGGAGGAGAGAATATTTTAGGATGTTCTAGAATGGAAGGGTGCAGTGGAATAGACAGCACTATTAGAGGAGGAGCAAAGGGAACAAGGTACAAGATCTGCATGGGTAACAAGGTGTGAGACCTCTCAGTCCAAGTGAAAGTTTTGGGTCATCATCCTAGAAGCTGTTGGGTGTTATCACTTCCTGAATGTAAAGCAAGTAGGTATCTACAGTAGGTTTGGTGCTCACGTGGAGAGAAGGGGCAGCAAGGCCCAGGTTTTTATATATCTCCAAATTGCAACTAAAAGCTACTCAGTCCAAGCAAAAGAATAGAGTAAGCTTCCTAATTTTACATGTTCCCTGAGAGGAGCTCTCACACCAAAAGGCCAACCTGCCTATTCTGCCCTACTGCTTTGGTTCTTCTCCAAGAACCTCTGGTCCTGGAAGCATGCTCACCCTCCTCTCCATTGTGCAGTGGACTGCTGTGAAGGACGACGCGGTGCTTGTTCCCATCCCAAGATGAGTCTGTGCAGACACATTCATTTCCTCGCACCACACCAGATATCTCACTGGACCCCCTTCCCAGGTGCCCATCTGTGACTTGTCATTTGCCTGGGCAAGGAACCTCAAGGAAAAATCACGTTTTGGCATCAGCTTAATGCCACAGTTATTATTGCAGTTATAGTCAGCGGGATCTTTGTTTCTCAGATTCAACTTTCTTAGTCATAAAGCACACCAAGTCATCTCTTGATCACATACTGAATGTGTTTTTGAGTAAGGAGGACATCTCTGAAATCATCTTAGACTAATGGACATGTGGCCAGATGGTCTCCAGGTGTCTCCAGAAGCCTTCAGAGAGAAGGAATCTGACCTCCAGCAATCTTTTCCAACACCCAAGCTCCCTCTGCCATGATTCCTTTATCTCCTGTCTCACTTGACTCCCTTGTGTTGCATTGTTATCCTAGATTATTCTTGCTCCTCAAAGAAACTAGCCATTATTTTATGTAAAAATAAGTTTTAAAATACAGAATTCAGCTGAGCAAAACAGAGACCAAAATTTAATTTAAGATTTAATTTTATAGTTAATATTTATTCATGAGTTTTGGCAGTGACCTTTTCAGCACATTTTTAAGATAAATTTCTTGTGATATTTTTTACATTTTATTAAACTAATTATTCAGTAGACTTCACAGAAGACCCGAAATGAAAAAGGGAATTGTAACAAGATCTTTTGTGCAAATTATGAGAGGCTCTTTTCTGTTTAAATTTCAGAATGCATATACCTACATGATGGGCGCATGCGTGATTGTCTTTAGGTTTTTCTCGATCTGTGGAAAGCATGTAAGTATGCTGTAAAGAACAGCATCAAAGGTTGCATATGCGATAAAGAAAAAAGCATTGACGAACTTCTGCTGTCCTTCTGGTCACTATGCTGTAGCTAACAAATTGCTAGACATTAAAGTCCAAATGAGTAAATTTTAAATATTAAAATGAATCATTAGCTTAGTTATCTTGTAATGTTTCCTGATATTTATGATATTTTATTTATTCTTCATATTTTCTAAGTAAATTCAATTATCAACTAAAAATAACATATCAGACATGAAAGCAAAAACCAGTAGTCTTTCTTAATATGTCTTTATTTTCAGTTTTATTTTTAATAAAGTTATTTTACTTCAAAGAAAAATAATCCTTAATGAACATTCATAATTCTATGATTCCATATTTCTTTATCTTCTTTATTAATGTTCATATATACATTCCACATACATTTTCATTTTTTAAAGTACTTTTTCCTTTTTTGATTCTGACATTACATCATATGGAATGCACATAATGAACACTTAATACTTAATGGTATTTAATATTTTACCATTGTTTAGGTTTGTTCTTATGAGCATCTATTGGTAGAAGAATACTGAGTCTACTTGTTACAGCCCAAAAAGTGTAGAGCCCTTACCATAGTGAATTAGAGAGCAAGAGAAGAGAAAATGAAGGCTAAAAACCTTTGAGTTGAACTTTTATTAATGTGGCTGAAAAGGCTGAACAATTTGACATACCAGTAGGATTTCTCTCTGTCTAAGGGCTCCTGAACAATATTCAGGTTTAATAGCTAATAGGGAACAATTTTCAGACAGTATCCTGAGGGTAATTCTGATGCCCCTCAACATGCTTAAATGTTATTGACTCCCCATGTTCTCCTCAGCTTAATGAATCAAATATTCATATTCTCTCTCCGCCCATCTCTCTCCATCTCCATCTCCATCCAGGTAACACTGAAGATGCTCCTCCTAACGGTGGTCGTCAGCATGTATAAAAGCTTCTTTATCATCGTCGGAATGTTCCTGTTGCTGCTGTGTTACGCTTTCGCTGGCGTTGTCTTATTTGGTACTGTGAAATATGGAGAGAACATTAACAGGTCGGTGTGTATTTATCTTTCTATTCATTTATCAAGCAAGCTTTTGTAGTAATAAAATCGTGAATAAGCACCTGAATGATTTTTGTCTATTGAAGATGGTGGGGGGGAGGGAGAAGCAATCCATTGGAAATTAAAACAAAATAAAAAGGCCAAATTTTAAATGACATTTTTATAACTGAAGGCAGTATACATGTTTACTATAGAGACCTTAGAAAATTCAGGAATAAAAGAATCCATAACTCCCTACCATGCAGGAATTACCACTCCTGATAACCTGGTAAATTCCAGCACTTTTTCTAACCACATGCTGCCAAAAATGATATATTATTTTTAAGTAAATAATTTTAAGATGATATTGGGTTTCTTTCTTTTTTAGCAAAGCATGGAAAGTTAGAAACGCCCCCCCCACCACCACCACCACCAAATGTTGTTATGTATGAAAAGCATTTTTCAAAGATAGCCTTAAATTTTGTGGAAGCATCTTATAATTTAAAATAGAAAAGTCCTCACACAACCAATTATATACAGATGTGTCTTGTTGCAGAAATGACTGATTTGACACATGGCAGCTCCACCTTTTATAGCATAATCCACATGAAAGAAACAATCACTTTATATTGTCAAAGCTTGCTCCCTCAGTCATTCAAGATGAATGGGAAGAAATTGGCGGCACCATGCAAGGTGTGGGTTATTAAGACAGCTATATTTGAGACAAGTATATATAACAAACAAATAAGAGAGTGTAACCTTTGGAAATGATTACTTGGCAATCAAATTTGCTCCAAAATCCACCTGCTTTGGTAGTAGCAGACCTTACTACTTCATGACAACTATGTGACTCAAACTCTGTTTTCTTTTTCCTTAATTTAGGCATGCAAACTTCTCTTCAGCTGGCAAAGCTATTACCGTACTGTTCCGAATTGTCACAGGTGAAGACTGGAACAAGATTATGCATGACTGTATGGTAAATATCTCTTTGTCAATAACAGTGCCTTAGCTTAGAATCATTTGAAGCTCTTTGGCTATAGCCTTCTTGTTAGCATCAAGGCTTTGCATACAAAACACATATTCTGGCCTTTTAGTCCATAAAATTGCTGTCTTTTACATTATAATGTGTGGACACACAGGAAGAGTATCCAGTAAACTCAACTTGAGCTATCATAGTTCCATTCAATAAATATTCATTATGTAGGCATTGTTCTTTCCCTCCCACCTTTAACATTTTGGCAGTTAAGTGCAAACTGGAGAATTCTGCTTCCTTAGTTCAATTTATTCAACAGATATTCGCCAATCCCCTGGTTTATACTGAGCCATACACTGGGTGCCAGGTCTTCAGTGATTCCAAGGCACCCTCAAGGAGCTGGGGGCTCTGACCTGTACTCTCTCTTCTCTAGGCTAATTCTCATCATCCTTCAGGTATCACTTTAAACATCAGTTCCTTCAGGAATCCTGCCTTATGTGAAGACTGCAAGTTATATGTTTTTACAGCACTCTATATTTATCTTTTTTTCATGTGTTTCACAACTATAGTGAGTTATTGGCTTAGTTTATTTCATCTCTTTCTCATCCTTCAGATCAATGTTATCCAAAAAAAAATTCTGCAATGATGGCCATCGGCACTGTCCAATTCAGTAGCCACTACCCACATGTGGTTATTGAGCATTTGAAATGTGACCAGTTAAAGTAAGGGATAGAATTTTAAATCATATTTCATTGTATTTAATGTCAATGAATGTAAATTTAAATAGCCGCAAGTAGTTAGTGGTTACCGTGTTGGACTGCACAGCTCTAGACCGTCAGCAACATGAAGAAGGGTCAGGATCTTTGTCTTGCTTACCAGTCTGTCCCCAATACTGAACAGAAACCTAGCACATAGTAGGAACTCAAAAACTTTATGCATGAATGAAAGGGGACAGATCAGATATGATACTAGGCAGAATTAAATAAACTCAAAGTAAAGAAGCAGCAGAATGCCATGGAAATGTGGAAGAGAGAGCTAGTCTCTGGCTGAAAGACACCAGAGGTTTCTCAGAGGTGTTGGCATTTTATTGAGCCAGGAATGTCCCAACATCCCCTAATGGTGCTGGAATAAGGATCACTGGCTTCTCCTCACACAATTTGAATGTGAAATTGTTGTGTATAACAAATCCTCCTAAAATCATACCCCATTACTTAAATCAGATTAAAAAAATTAAATGCCCTTTTGTTTGACATTCTGCAGTTTGATCACAATGATAAATTATCATTTGGGGCTAGTGCAGGTGGCAGACAGAGCATCTCTTAGAGCAGTGGTTCTCAACCTTCCTAATGCTGCGACCCTTTAACACAGTTCCTCATGTTGTGGTGACCCCCAACCATAAAATTATTTTTGTTGCTACTTCATAACTGTAATTTTGCTACTGTTATGAATCATCATGTAAATATCTGCTATGCAGGATGTATTTTCATTGTTACAAATTGAACATAATTAAAGCATAGCGATTAATCACAAAAACAATATGTAATTATATATGTGTTTTCCGATGGTTGTAGGCAACCCCTGTGAAAGGGTCATTCGACCCCCAAAGGGGTCGCGACCCACAGGTTGAGAACCGCTGTCTTAGAGGAAACTGGTTCATTTTCATTAGGTTTCTAAAATGTCAATGAACTTGGGATTCTGCAAGACAAAAAGCATAGCATAAGTGAAATATTCTTTTTACTTTTGCCACTGATGATGCATCTAACACATGCAGCTTCAGAGATTACTTTGAAGTTAATTATTATATTTTACATGGGTCAGGATTATGTTCATTAACTACAGTCAGTTAACAAAAATTTGTATTCTTCTCTGCTGTCATTCTTTCCTCTCTCTCCCTCCCACTGCCCCGCAGGTCCAGCCACCCTTTTGTACTCCAGATGAATTTACATACTGGGCAACAGACTGTGGGAATTATGCTGGGGCACTTATGTATTTCTGTTCATTTTATGTCATCATTGCCTACATCATGCTAAATTTACTTGTAGGTAAGTGATGTTCGCTGCATATTTTTTTAAACCTCTTTAAACTCAGGTACTTAGATAATTAGGTATAATTTTCAAGTAATTATCCTGGATTGCTTGGGGTGGGTGTTTCATGGCATTAATTATAAATTGTTTTCTCTCCATTCAAAAGCTGAAAAGACTTTTGAAAGGCATGTAAATGACAGTTGATTGCAATTTCAAGAGTTGTCCTATTTATTATGATTATTAATCTCAAAAGAGCTCTCATGGATTGAGGTGAACAAATATCGGGGGCTGAGAGGGTTACCTTTCTAGCCTCGAAATGTCACATTTATGTTTTTGAAAGACACATGTTGTTCACCCGGCTGTGAGGCCACCCAGAACTCAATTTGACCTTTAAAAACTGTCCTGGAACTCTCAGCTGCCAGCGAAAGCCAGCTGGCATGAACGTCTATACACACAGAATGTGTGTTTATGCTATGACCCTCATGTTTTGGAAAGCCAGGAGCTAGAGAAACAGCTTAGTCCAAGTGTAAAACATGCCAACTTGGAAGGCATACTAAAAGCACTTTAAAAATTTGGCTTATCATGTAGCTGATACAATTCATTATTTATAATAGATGTTTTACAGTTTCTGAAAAATGACAGATGACAATTTAGATAATTGTCTAAATTCGCCATTTTTTTTCCTTTTAGCCATAATTGTGGAGAATTTCTCCTTGTTTTATTCCACTGAGGAGGACCAGCTTTTAAGTTACAATGATCTTCGCCACTTTCAGATCATATGGAATATGGTGGATGATAAACGAGAGGTAGGAGAGTGGATTGCCATTTCACGCCCCACTCAAAAGAGACTTACTACCCTATCTCAGACATGGTTTTGTTGTTGGCATGGACAGATATTGAATTTTGAAGGGCCATTGGTGAATTGCAGAAGGCTGTCATCGACACTCCAGCAGAATATGCTAGGAGGGGAAAGAGACAGAATAGATCCCTCTGTGTCCTTTCCAACTAAGAATGTCCTCCTCTTCCAGCATTCAGATGTTGGCAAGAAAGGAAACCAAGGGAGCTCTGAAGAAACGAGCCCTGGGCTCAGGGCAAGAGAAGGGGTGAAGTTCAAATGATCAAAGTAACAATATAGTACAGATTCATGATCACCTCAACCTAAAAGAGCAATCCTGATTACAAGTGCAAATGAGTTATTTTGGTGATTTATTAAAGTTACTACTTTTACTTATTTTGGACTTAGTATTGGTCAGTTTTAATAATGAAGCTTACCCAAGATTTACTAGAATTAGCTAAAGCAGCAGCAGCTTCCTGCTCCTCCTCCTCTTTCCCATTCTTCATCCAGCAGACACTCAGGCATTGCTCTAGGCACTGGAGATATACCAATGAGCGAGATGGACAGGTCTCCTATTCTAGTACAGGAGACAAAATTAAAGTGAAATAATCATTACAATTTCAAAAAGCTATAAACACTCTGAAGAAGGTAATAAGGTAGAGAGCGATTGGAGTCAGGAGCAGACAACTTTAGCAAGATCCAATATCTGAAAAAGGAGGAGAGACCAGCCATGGGAAGATCTTGGGGATTATCTGAAGATAGTTTCAGGAAGAGTTGACTGAGGCATGAAGACTAAGGGGCCAGAACAGGCTGAGTAAACGGGGTATCCGGGTCTAGAGCTGGGACCCGCACAACCAGGCATGGCTTTCTCCACCCCCTTTGCTTGTTCTTCCCTTGGTACCCCCACTTCATCCAGGCACCAGTGTTGGGGATTTTCTTCCAGGACAGTGACCTGCATGTACAGGTGTCTGGCCCCATTGATCTCTATGGCTGCTGCCTACAGGAACATGCCTTCCTCTGACATACTCATGGAAGATGGCACCACCACTCACATGTTAAGATGTTAGTAACTGACAGGAACTCATGGCCTATCAATGTCCCTGCCTCTCACTCAGTACCTGATTTAAAGACACAGCCAGGCTGGCACGGTAGGTTCTGTTGCCTGGAAGAGAGTGACACATGGAAGATGTCAGAATCTGGAGCTGCTCCGAGCAAGAAGAGGGCAGAGCTGGGAACCCAGTTCACTTCTGTGTAATTGTTCTAATAATGGAGGAGAACTGAAAAGGAGTGATCATTCCACAGAAGAACAACTTATAATAAACGTTTACAAGCTCCCAGTATCTGAACTCGGTGAGAAGAGGATCATGTACATGTGTATGTTTCATTTCTTGTGCTAAAATAAAGCATTCCTGAGCCACTCAGCACATGTGTTAGAGAAGCACCCAGCAAGGCTGAGTCAGTGGCACGGGTATGGAAAGAAAAGTCTATGGGCTCGATCCCCAGTAGGGGGCGTGCAAGAGGCAGCCAGTCAGTGATTCTCTCTCATCATTGATGTTTCTCTCCCTCTCCCTTCCTCTCTGAATTCAATAAAAATATCTATAATAATAAAAGCATAATATGCTAATTAGACTGGATGTCCTTCCGGACATCCTTCCGGACGACCTTCTGGACGAAGCTGGGGCTGCAAGGGAAGCCCGGGTCCCGGGTGCTGGAGGGAAGCCGGTACCAGCAGCTGGGGGATGGAAGGCCTATGCTTGCACGAATTTCATGCATCAGGCCTCTAGTACCGTGCTCGGCAAACCACGGCTTGCGAGCCACCATGCGGCTCTTTGGCCCCTTGAGTATGGCTCTTCCACAAAATACCATGTGCGGGCATGCACGTACAGTGCAATTGAAACTTCGTGGCCCATGCGCAGAAGTCAGTATTTTGTGGAAGAGCCACACTCAAGGGGCCAAAGAGCCGCATATGGCTTGCGAGCCGCGGTTTGCAGAGCTGCAGTTTGCCGACCACTGCTCTAGTATATTTTTAAAAAAGAAGAAGAAGAAAGAAAGAAAAGCCTAGTCAAGTTAGTGTCTGTCCAGGACAGGCAGAGGGAGAGCTTTCCTCCCTCCTTGGCTGCGAACGCTGAGTGGTTGTGAAACTCCACAGAACTAGAGGCGCACCTGCAGAAACTCTATGTGCTCAGGTCTTTCTTTTTTGTCATTTTTTAATATTTTTAAACATTTTATTGCTTTTTAGAGAGAGAGGAAGAGAGAGGGAGAGAGAAAAACATCAATGTGAGAGGAAAACATGGATCAGCTGCCTCCTGTATGACTCCCACCGGGGATCAAGCCCACAACCCCGGGAATGTGCCCTGTCGGGGAATGGAACTGGCAACTTTTTGATGCACAGGAGGACACCTAGCCAACTGAGCCACACCGGCCAGGGCTAAATTTATTTTTTAATTACCGTGGACATACAATATGATATTAGTTTCAGGTGATATTAGTTTCACATAGTGATTAAACATTTATATACCCTAGGGAATGCTCAGCTTTTATCTCCCAGCCAGCCTCGGGAAAATGAACAGCTTCCTTGCCATCTTTTGAGAAATGGCCCCAGGAGTAAACAGAGCCCCAGAGCATCCCTGCGGCCTAATGATGGTTTACATCCGAGTCGCTGTGCTCTGCCATAGGGGGTGATCCCGACCTTCCGCGTGAAGTTCCTGCTGCGGCTGCTGCGGGGGCGGCTGGAGGTGGACCTGGACAAGGACAAGCTCCTGTTTAAGCACATGTGCTACGAGATGGAGAGGCTGCACAACGGCGGCGACGTCACCTTCCACGATGTCCTAAGGT